CTTGCATTTTCATATTGTAGTGTAAAAAATGTTGAGTATTCTTCAGAAGTTTAATTTTACATCACGTTTGAGAGGATATTTAGTAATAATTGTTCATTCATAGCACTGGGAAATAGATAGTATAATATACTTACATGGTTTCCAATATTTCATATCTGCACGTTGCGATGGGTCTATACATATACAAAAGTCTATATTTGTTAGGAATATTTCATATCTGCGCATTTTGTTGGATCTATATAAATATAATATACCCGTATTAGAAGTTAAATTTATCAGAAACATTCTATATCTGCACATTTCGACTGCGTACGTTCAATATAAACCTTTTCTTTCTACTGGGAATTTTCCTTTAAATTAATTTATAAAATCTAATATTCGGAATAATGATATTTAAGTGAAATTTCCCAACGAACTGTATTCTTTAAAAATGTAAAGGTCGTCGAATGCCTTGCTTACATAAAGTAACAATAAATATAATAGATAGAAAATAAATATTAGGAAATCATATGTATATGTGTCTGCATAAGACAGTTAGGTAAAACAAAAACAATATATATCTGCTTGTAGCTAACTTCCGTTACCTATTTTCGTTAACATTTCAGGTTTTCTGATCACCCCATTTTTTTTTTAACTCATGCGGAAATTTTATATCAAAACGTAATATTTGCCGCCATTTTTATACAACGTCATAAATAAATTCTGTAGAGAATGTAGGTGTGACATTTATGCTTTTCAAAAGATTATAGTGACTACAGCTAATAGTCAGTTTCTGGATATATTTCACTAAATAAAGAACGCTGCTTGAAAAAGTAGTCCGTGTTCTATAGTAAAGCATGTATATCTTACGGTTCGAACAAAGTGAAACAATGCAGAGACCAATCGGAAGCCTCCTCTTTGTCACTCAACAAATAAAACCTTTTTATTTTCTTAAGTTTGGAAACTAAAGGTAAGACTTTCTTATACATATATGACTTTCTTGGATGCATTACATATTTCATTTAATCGATTTAACTTCCAATGTATTTCATTGCAGGCCGTTTTTATTTATAAAACTACTTTTGATAATTCTCCAATTCTGTACTGTGGATAGAGATTTGTACAAAAAGAATAGATCCTTAGTCAATGGTTCATTTTGTAAACATAAGCAGATATATTTGTATATTAGTTCAAATAAGCTACCTTTGACTCGTTAGATGTCTATAAGTAACTAATCCGTCTTGACTTTAGTTCAGATATAACTTATTTATGGTGGGAACGTCTTTTATAGTTTTCTCATTTTTTAGCTGTCTCAACTTCACTGTTGCAATTGGAACTAGTGTTACGATCATGCAAAATTGTTTAGAAAATGATAATAAATATGGAGAGAAAATTAGCTTCAAAGGGGAACAAACAAAGGATAATCAAGCATACAGCATTTGCCACATATTTATTAGCATTTTCTCAACGCATGTCAAGGAAACAGACTAACTCTAACTTGTAAGTTCATGGTATCATAGAAGAAATTTTGATATTAAAGCAGGAACAACTGATCTATATACATACACAAATTAGAATAGAAGTTATACGTATATATATAGTTTTATATACTAACAAATGAAACGTGAAATTACATTCATAATATTCATAGATTACAGTCTCCAAAAATTAACGAACTATATATATCCTACGTTAATTAGATTCTATGAAAGTGTCAAATATTACAGTATTTATCTATCTGTAAAATATAATTAATAGTATATAAAGATTCCTTTCGCTAATTTATGTAAAGCAAACTGCTTCATTTGAAAGGTAACTAAAATTGGGGCAAATTGTTCTTTTATAAAAGTAAACAAAACATTACTGGTAGCTGTGGAAAATAACATGCTCAAAATATATTAGTAGCGTCGCGTTTAATTTAATTTAATAATAATTTAATATTAACTTATGCAGTATAGTACTTTTGAAATGAATCATCTATAATTCTGAAATGATTTTAACTTTGGCACTCAACTGTGTTTTGCGATCACACGTAAGTAACTGTTTTTCATTCCTTTTGTGGTGTATTTTTATTCATATGATTATCAAACGTTAAACCTAACATGTAAACATCTAATGCTTTTTATACTTTAATCATGACTGGGAGTCATTGTTGGTGTGAAAGTTCTTACTTCTGCTAATCCTTAATAATATAACAATTTAACGTCATACTATTTTTATTGTTAGAATATCGCATATAAGCATATGTAAAAATCGATTTCACGACTTCGAAATCTTAGGAAACGTGTGTGTGCGTGTGTGTGTGTGGAAAAACATAAAGGGTACCAAGTCTGTTAGAATTTACTTATTGTCTAAATTACAGTATTTACATTTATCTATAATTCAACCTGAAAATCGAATAATATACTATAATTATAAGGAAAAATAATATTGCTAAATGGATTATTTACTTTAAATGGTGAATATTTACAATATATTTAGTTTTTTCAAGGACTGATTCCTGTAAATAATTAAAAGAAGGAAAATAAGACCTTAATTCATTCTCATGGACAAAATGCTTCATTCTACTATGAGATATTTATGTTTGCTTGAGATTATTCATGTCTACAAAATGAATGAACATGAAATATTCTTGGTTGAACTTGTTTATCAAAAGTAAAGAAAGTTTATCCTAAATTCTAAAAATATGAGTTGTTGACATAAAGAAAGACAATTTAAGTATGATAATATACTGATTATATTTAAAATAAAATGTTAAGCCTGTGTTTCATGTTATAAGTGTTACATACAACTAAAGCACTAAAGTACAAAACTCAATATATTACTTTAGAATTTCCAAGGTAACAACCAAATCAGCACAGATGTAACATAATGTAAGCTGAAGAAAACAGCTAGTATAAAACAACTATTGTTCTTAATCAAATGTTAAAACAGTTTAGGTCTATTTGAAAACACAAAATAAAATAATTAAATCAGAATAATATTTTATCAAAATTTATTTTTATCAGGTTGAGAAGCATATACAATCGTCTCAAGAAATTTGACGTTAACCTGATCAGTATTACAGCACAGTAAATACTCTGAACTGTTCGTTTTCTGATAAAGTTTGTATTTTACTCATTTCCATTGTTTCCATTTATTCATGTAACATTTTGTGAGACCCTTTTTATTCTATTACTAGAATATCTGTTAACTAGTTTTCTATAATAGCCCTATAATTGGAATGATTTTGTTCGAAATTTGTTCTATAATTGTTCTGCTGAATTTATATTGGTAAGTTTCATTAAATTGGATAACTCTAAACAGTTTGGATTGGTTACTTTATTGGCTTATACGATATCTATTTCAGTTAAATATTTAAGTTTCATAGCTTTTCTTTCTACTATCTACAATAAATATTCGAAAAACTACAATTCTTGAGCAGCCTCGTGATTGAAAGTTGCGAAGGTACCAATTGTCAATTCTGATATTGTACAATAACTCATTAATTTACTTGGTTATTAACGCAATTTCCTTTATTATCATCATCACTACATAAAAAAGTTTAAATTTTCAACATACAGAAATTTGCAATTAAAGGTAATCTGAAGCATACTTGAAATTATCATAGCTATTTCTATACAAAAGTTCATAGCACCAAACTATAAAAATATGAATTATTAAGTGAAGAATTGTAAGCGTGGGTAACAATACTAGTTTAAAAGATAATTTAAAAAGATGCAATACGTGTATCAGTTAAATACTTTACTACTGTTTACCTGTTGAAATAGATAGATTGCTTATAACCATACTATATATATATATATATTTCTTTTAGAGTCGTGGTTCTTGAAAACGAAAAGATACAACTAGAGATTCTTCTTTTCCGTATGTGGATGTTACTCTTAAAATAATACTTCAACCCTAAATAAAAAAAACAACCACTTCTTATTTGTTTGCCACGTAGTTAAACACGGTTGAAAGGATATCTATGGAAAATTGAGAATGTTACAGAGCCTTTTACAATGCAGTAAGATCTGTAAATAACTTTATGCTAAGAAACTCCTTGTACAAGAGTTTGTTGAAGAGTATGGTGAATGAGACACATGGGCTTACTGTTCAGGATGAATCTGCGGTGGGGCTAACTCAAATGTGTATTGACCCAAGCCACTCAGTCCGCGGAAGCAGAAAATTTCCCAGGACATAATTCATCTTTTACCGGTGTTGGTGTCGTGGTGAAAAGTCACAAAAAGCCAACCGATTAACAATGGAGCTATTCTAAATCCCTGCACATTTTGCTTGTGGCCTCTTGTAGTGTTTAGTATTTCCCATTATTTGTTGGGACGTGAAAAGACTAGCTCATGGGGGGTGGGGGCTCTGCCCACAAGAAGACAGATCTGAAAGTTTGGAATCGAAAAAGGCTACCATTCTGAGTATTATCAACTGTGTAATAGTGAGGGGGGGGGGGAACACACGCAGGACCGCAGCTAATTTGAAGGAGGAGGGAGTAAAGAGAAACTGTTCAATGTAAATTGAAAAACACTCACAACAGCTACAAGATATGAACAGAGGTACTTACTTTTCGAGAGGTGTTCTTTTTGATATGTGTCTTGGTGAAATGCGCCTTACAGTCCATGTGCGTGCCCAGGGGAACTCCCCTCTAATAGATTGACAGTCTTTTGAGGAAACTGATTGGCTGGAATAGAACCGCCTCTGCGTTACGGGCTTGGCTTTATTAAAAGAAGCGTGGCTATAACACCCCGAGTTGTTGGATAGGTGTTACCCAACTTGTTTTACTTGCATCAATCGTGTGGCTGCCAGCGGGCCAAACGCGCGTGGTAGCCGAGCAAGGTGCTGAAAACACACTGTCGGGGTCATCCCTTGTTTGTGCATAAGTCTTTGTGTAAGCAGCCATATTTATGTGACCAATGGAACGCTTCATCAGCAAGTCACTGGTCAACAGGGACCAAAAGTAGCATACTGAGTTTTGGATCGTCTTTACATTTGAAAATCTCTACAAATCCAGTAGGTTTAGAGTGACGATGCCTCGACCTGGCAGAAATACTTACGGAGACCAAAAGCCTCCGTATTCTTACATTTCTCTGACTTTCATGGCAATTCAAAGCTCGACGGAAAAGATGCTAACGTTAAGCGATATCTACAAATTTATTATGGACAGGTTTCCGTATTACCGAAAAAATACACAAAGGTGGCAGAACTCTTTGCGACATAACCTCTCATTCAATGACTGTTTCATCAAGATCCCCAGACGTCCCGACCGACCAGGTAAGGGTAGCTACTGGGCTCTCCACCCCGGCTGTGGAGATATGTTTGAGAACGGAAGTTTTCTCCGGCGTCGAAAGAGATTCAAGTTGCCCCGTGGACTGAGGCATGCTACAGCAGCTGCTTTCGCCGAACTGAAACAGTTAGAAAGTGCCACGCACAACGCAGTCCAAGAGCAAGCAAAGCTTCGATTAGCAGCACTGGCTGCGGCGCCGTCACATCTACAGCATTTTTGTACAGATTCTTCGAGGACTACGGCCACGACATACAAACAACCGTTTACCATCGAGAATTTGATCGCTCCCGACTACAAAGTTCCTGGCCATCCATCGCCTCATCAGGGTCTCGCACCAATCGTTCATCAACCCATCATACCCAATTTTCTGCCGTCATTTCCATGCTCTCTTCCGTGTGTCTCAGCGGTGTCTTGGGCCTCTTCTGTCTCCTCCACGGACTTGACCCTTGCGTCAGCTGGACTCCATTCAAGAAATTTTCCTCCGTTTCTCAATATGACTATGGCAGTTCATCCTAAATTGCCAGGGACGATATCGTTACCCCATACCATCTCCACAATGTCAGGAGCAATGTCTACGACTATCCCGCTGTCTATGCCGTCTCTTCCGCTAAAACCGGGACTGTTACCTGCTCTGCAGTTCCCGGGCCTTCATTCAGATCGAGCAGTGTTCGGTACTTTCCCCGCTGTAACCTACACTTCATGCTCACCTCCGATGAGAATCGATTCTGCCTCCAGTGACACTTCTGCGAAATCTCTGGACATCATCTCAGACGACTCGTCAAAATAAGGAAGAACATTCAAGGTCCAGGTGAGCAGAACAATTAACCATAATTATGCTCAATGGTCTACTCTCATAACGTTAGGCGTGTAGGTAGACAAGCCTACAAGCAACAGAAAAATAGAACGTTTTCAGGCTTTGTGTGCTGCTTCTATATCTATGTTATCGTGGTTGAGCTTTAGACACTACTTACTAGTAATTCAAAAGATTGAACCATTGGATATTAATGTAAAAAATGATATAAACTTGTGTGACTTGTTTCAATACTGTTATGTTAGGCGTAGCTCTTTAATAAAGTTATATTAGCCTATAAATGTACTGTGAACTCATGTTAAGATAGCAAATCTGCATTCAATGCGGGTAATCTTTATCTGTAAATAGTAAGTGTGTATAGGTTCTGTGTTTAATTTAATTTATGCTTAATGTTGAAGTGCAGAATCCACTACTCTTGTCAAAGTATAGGGAGAATATTCCAAATCTTAAGTGCCATGTCAATAATGTCGTAATTACAAATATGACGGTTAACTGCTTAGACCCACTGGAGTTTAGATGCCACTGTGGTCACTTTAAATTTTTCGAACTCAGAATAAGTAGAAATATTGTGGTTTATCCTAGTTATGGCTCAAATTAAAAATATGAAAGTGAGAAGTAAATAAGTCTGATAGTTTCGCACTTTGTGTTAAATACACGGGCTAATAATAGTAGATAGAAGATTCTAATGCAAATTACTTAAATATATTCTATGTATATATATATATGTATATATATATATAGCAATAAGTCATGTTTCAAAATCATATGTAAATATTGTTCGGATCTTTTGTTTTGTAAATAAATCATTGAGAAACAACAAAATTAGTTTTTTGTGGTTATTTTATTTTTATTACGGAAATTCTGTACCATAGCTGCTACAGAGTGCATTAACGAGAAATAATGTTTATAAAAGCAAAACAAAAAGATAGTGCTAATATACGATGATTTTACTTAAAAATTGAAGCTTAAATGTTCATTAAACAAACAGTAAAATCTTAACATTTTCACACGATAAAATATTTCAGAGAATAGGAAACCTTTCTGTTTTTTTTTTGTAAATAAGACCGATAATCAGATTCGCCACTAAGTTTCAGAAAACCAAATACACATACGAGGGAGGAAGGATAGTAAGTAGACAACATCAACAACAAAGAAACTACAAATAACAAAAACAAGAGGATCATTCTTCATTATTAAGTTGTATTCTGATGATTGTGAAATCAGTAATAATCAAAGTGCTCAACTCGTGTAAATGAAACTCCTTATAAAGCATAGTGTAAAATGCGACAGAATGAATATTCTTATTTGGTGTGTGAGGAGGAGTGTATCAGCTATAGCCCAATTTATTTAACAACTTGTATAACATTTATATACTAGCCTAAAATAGAACGGATATTTGTGAAATACAGATCATAAAATAGTTTCTTGCAAAGAAAAGAGAAATGTTTATATGTATGTATATATATATATAGTTAATATCAAATCGAATTACTTTTCATTTTCACTTGTTGATTTTTATTATACCAACTGTTTTGCATTGTTAGCTTAGAATTTATATTTATAACTAAACTTTATATTCTAAGCTGCCTGAACCTTGTGAGATATTCTTGGGTTTATGGCCGAAAATATCGTTAACAGCTTTTTATCTTTTTAAATAGAAACACAAGAAAAGTATATTTAATTAGGTATACTGATGGCCAGTTTGATTTTTGTTTTTACTCTAGGTACGTAGCTTACTCTGATCAGAAGTAATAATAGTCATAATAACTTTTGTCATGCTTATTTTTTTATGACACATCTCATTGTGCTTTTACAATACAGAAAAGTATACATATACGTATAGCTTTACAATAACTCAGATTTCTTTTTCAAAATCAATAGCTCTCATTTCTGCCTTTTAATTAGGTTAAAGTAGAACTATAAATTAATTAAACACATAATACCTTCTTACTATGCCAACACTTGCAATTAAGTAGTGATATACATATACAAGCTCTTAGGTTTGATTCAATAGGTTTAGTAAAATTAATAATTTGTTGAGTTTTCTTGAAAAAGAGCAATATTTAAGGTATTAAATTAATTAATTCAGCTATTTGTAAATGCACAGGTTTTACTAAATCTTATTTAGTAACATTGAAATTTAAGCTACTGAAAGAAAATACTTCATAATGAAATAGAGAACTGTTTTATGTCATGTTTATTTATTATTTATCTTATAATTGGGCATTAATATTTATATATGATGTAAGCTAATCTGCAAGTTGCATGTTTGAATCCATTCTCCTCTTTCAGCCATGAGTGCATAAAAATGTGACAGTCAATCACTGTAGCTCAACAGTTGGCAGTGAGTGGTGTTAACTAACTACTTTCCCTTCAGTATACCTCTTTTAAATTAAAGACTGATAGCACAGATAGCCCTCAAGTAGATTTGAGAGAAATTTTAATAAAGAAACGAAGAATCTATATCTTACAACACAAATCAAAGGTGAATTTGTTTCCCAAATTCATAAAAAAATGCATAGTATTGCAGCCAAAATATGTATTGAGCCAGGAATTTGTAGACAGTGATTAATAAAAAAGGGATATTAATCAAATTAAATCCGAAAAACTATGCTATCAATTCATCATTTCACGAATGTAGAGAATACATGTATTTCATTAATGTTTTTTGTTATGTACCATGGCCTATCTGTCTGTTCCCATCACTTGGATTGAATCCCCAAATTTTAACTTCATAAACCCTGTAATTCCACTTCAGAGCTACCTGGAGGATGGAGACAACATTTAGTTCTCAAGCATTATTGTCTGTTTATATCTGTTACATCTCTTTCAACACTAATTACATGTAAATAAATAGTAATTATTTTGGTAGACACTAGATATAATGTATGTTATAACTAATTTATTGTAGGTACTATAGTACATAATTTTTTATATTATTTTAACATCTTTAAGTTTTCTTAGGTAAGTGTTTCAGCCATAATTATTACACTTCATGAAGATATACAGCAGTATTAGGTGTTTTTTTCCTGTCCCATAAAATTACTAGTTTTTAAAAGAAACTTATATTTATACTAAATGATTATATCTATTTTTTTACTATACTTTCTATCTTGAAACAAAAGCTTATGCTGTATTTTGTGATAAGTTATCTAAAAACAGATTTAAAGTAAGACTTCATAGTCACCCAAGAAGTGCATACAATCAGACTAGAGTCACACTTAATTTATGATAATATGTACAGTGACTCACACATCCTCTTTACATGGAATATGTAAAGCACAGTGTTAAGCATAATTTCAATCTTCCATTGTTTTCTCTCTTCATAAAGGTTGATTTTAGTTATGTTTGGCTACAGAATAATATAATCAGTCTTAAGACTAGATTTTTTTTGTTATCCTGCCATAGTTGTGTTAACTTAATGCTATATTTTTACTTTTTTTTTCTAGATTAAATTATGTTAATTTATTCAAAATAATTACAAAATAACATATAACAAAAAACCCATCTTAAAGCAAATGAAAATAAAGAAAAATACATCAATATATAAATAGGTAAAAGAAATACAAATGTTGACACATGATCAGATGGATGTTATGGTTGTTATTCTTCATAAATGAAGGGCAATACTCCAGCTGTTGTGGTAAATATCTATTCCTATTATATGTTAGAAAAAAAAAAAGGTAGAACATGCACTGTCTAATCTGGGCTTTAAACATTCTTAATACCCATATTGATTTTCATTGAAGTTTGACATGAGATTAGTTTAAGGCTGTAGTAAGCATTCGAAGATTATAAAAAACTTTTAATAGGAAGTTCAATGAAGGTTTCAACATATATGACTAAAAACTTATAGAATATCCTGTCTATCTATCTACCTGATAAATGTATAATTCTATCTATTTATACCCTATGAATTGTCCATCTATCTATTTATCTACTTGCAATTTGCTCACTTATCTATTTACCTATATAGTAATTGATTACCTACCTATTTATCTACATAGGAATTGTTCACTTATTCATTTATATACCTATACACTGGTGCTCTTCACGCTTAAATCAGTTTAATCTTCAGTCCAGTTAGTACCAACATAGAAGCCATCTTACATGAATATGAAATAAAAAAAGATGTTATGCATATCAGTAGCAAAGTGATTCTTTGGGAGAATCTCTTTTTGGCTGCAATATAAGTATAACTTTTTCAACAGTGGAATAGATAAACTGAAAGGTGTGTTCAGTTCAGTAACAAAACACACCTTTGAGAAATAGAACAATCAATCAAAAAAGGGGTAAAAAAACCATAAACAATTAATTAAAGTTAAAAAGAAAAAATTCAACATTTACTAGTATATGTATACAATCTAATATCACTTTTTTTTTAATTATAAGTATGATTATTAGTTAACATAAATGAATCATCCAACTTGAATGTGTGTGGTCACTTCTTGCACCAGACCACATTTGATTTAAAACATGGAGTACAAAATATTATATAATTCTAGTTACTTCTTATTCCAGATTGGTTATAACAACAGTAAGTAATAAGAAAACCAACTGTCACTGATCAATAATAAAATAGTGTTACTGTATTGCGACATTACCATCAAACATACTCTTCAAATGTCTATAACATATGTAGCAACAATATATATGAATACCATATACAAATTTTGATGGTGTCTTGTAATAAGTGTTACCACAAGGTCAAAACCTCACAGTCTTATTATGGCAGCTCAGAGACAGTTGTTACTGATATTATCATCACATTTTTCCTTTTTAATAAACAATAACCACATCAGAAACCTCTGAAACATGCAGATATTTTATGTCACATCTAGTTATTATTATCACTAAAGAGTAAACAAATGTATTTAAGAATATTTACAAAATAAAAATATAGTATTTTATAACTTGATAACAAGGAACCCACTTTTTAGAAAATAGAAAATTTTGAGAGGCTTGACTGTGTAATGAAAAACGTTATTGTAAATGTCTCAAAACTTTTAATGTATTTTATAGCATTACAAAATTAGGAACATTTCACTTATGAAACATGTATAAAACAATAATTCAAATAAATGTTCACCAAATATTTATTTAAAAAAATGACACCTTCAAAACTTGCGATATTTAAAAAAGATGTGTTTGAGAGATATTAAGTTCCTTTCATTGAACATTTCATTTTATTTTATAATTGATCTTTGTACCTGAAGCATCAGTTTTAACAAAATATTATCTACAAGATTTCTACATAAGCCCCTCCCCAGTAGATACAAGCTCCCCTTTAGACTAAAATTAAGTGTACCAATTTTTTAAGTAATAAAGATTGTAACATGAAACATAATTCCTTGTTTCCCATACTGAATGGCATACAACAGCTGAAAACTAGGATTTGATTTTGATCTATGTTAGTTCTTTTCAGCTCCATTGGTTCCAGGATAGGCAATGGTGTAGAAAAAACAAAAAAAATAAATGTGTACCTTTTGTAAGATAGCCTCAAAAATATTTTGATTTTAATGAATAGAAATCTGTACCATGAGCAAAATTGCTGTAAATA